CCCGTACGAGCACACGTGCAGTGTGTCACACGCTCGTAGGCAGGGGTGAACTGGTGAACACCCCCGTCCTGGATAGCAGAACCTGCCACCAAGTTCGTGGAGAACGAGGGGAGGTGGAGACCTGACAGTGTGCCCGACGGGACCGCAGGGCAGGGAAGGACAGTGGAGGAGGTCGCAATGACCGGACCCCAAGAGGGGTCAGCAAGGGAGACAGCAACTGGCCGAGCAAGGGGCTCAAGGGCAGTGCGGTCACGAAAGAAACAGCGAGAGGCACCTGAATCCAGCGTGAAGGTGTGCAGTGCTGCAGTCTCCACAGTACCAAGGGGGGCAGACACGCACGCACCTAGAGCAGCAGCCTCACCAGCACCTGGGGTAGCAGACACGTGGGTACCTGGTGCAGCAGACGCACTCGTCCTAATGCCCGGGTCGGGCGGGACACTCAGGTACTCAGAACCCTCTCCACTAGTAGACATCACATACATGGCAGTGAGAATAGCATCAAAATCTAGAGCATAGATATCAATCCCCTTCTTCAGGAGATCAAGCCAGCGGGGCAGCTCAGTGGCCTGAGGGAACTGAACACGCCAAGCGTCGCTCAGACGAGCGAAGCAACGCTGTGTGGCGTGCGGTCCCCCACACGGCTGGCCAATGCGGTCACCAGTGCGAATGACGTACGTGCAGCTAAGGCCACCCCCCCCCCCCCGTGCTGAGAGTACCACTCACGGACCTCCTGGGGCGAGGGAGTGTGCTGCTGTCCCTGGCCACCGCCAGTGCCGCCACGCCCACCACTCCCGCCACCACCTCCTCGACCACCCCAACCCCTGCCGCTGCCTCGTCCACCGCCACCCCCACTACCTCCTCCGCCCCGGCCACCTCCCCCACCGCTGCCGCCACCCCCACCACCGCTGCCACCTCCCCCACCCGCGCCACCCCCCCCGCCACCACCTCCCCCACCACCGCCACCCCCGCCGTCACCACCACCGCTCTTGCCCCCCTTGCCCTTGCCGCTGTGGCGTCCGCCCGAAGCAGACGCAGTCCCGACCTTCTCAGCACCAAGGAGGTCGACAGCAGCAGCAGAGGCGACAGAGGGAAGAAGGGGGGAGGGAGAACATCCCTCAAAGAACGGGGTGCGGGGGTCACCGCGAGAGGCACCTACAGCGACTATGCTAGTCTCGGCTGCAAGGAGTTCCTTCTCGAGGAGGGCAATGGTGAGCTCGGTGGGGCAGCGAGCGAGGAAGTGGTCCCTGACTGAGCGCAGCGAGTCAGGGAGGCGCGTGACTAGGTGGTAGAGAGTGATCCAGAGCGGGGGTGGGTTCGTGGCTAGGAACTCATCAGGCATAGCGGCGCGGAAGCGAGCCTCACTAGTGCGGAGGTGGGTAATGAGGTCAGTGACAGTGTGAAAGGAAGCTAAGTCGGGGAACAGGTAGGGAAGAGAGAGACGGCCTAGAGCAGCAGAGGCCGGTGAGGAGTAGCGGGCAACGACAGCAGTGTACAGTGCCTGTGCAGTCTTGTGCTGCCCAAAGTGCTCGCGCTCATCTATCGGCAGAGAGTTGCAGATAGCGAAGCGAGCATGGGCGTCACGAGTCTGCCACTGTGAGCGAGCAGTGCTGTCGGCAGTAGCAGCAGGAGCAGTAGCGTGGCCTAGGGCGTGATCGTACAGCGAGATGTCTTCCTTGGCAGTGAGCTGTAGGAAGAGGTGTAGGTCATCAAGCCAGGTGTCGAACTTCACTGGGCGCCCCTCAGCATCAAAGGCTAGCACTGGAGGGCTAGCCATGGTAGTAGCAGTAGTAAAAGCAGCAGGAGCAGTAGGTAGGTAGGGCGGCGCGGCTCGGTATAGGTAGGGCGGCGCGGCTCGGTACAGGTAGGGCGGCGCGGCTCGGTATAGGTAGGGCGGCGCGGCTCGGGTCGGGCGGCGCGGCTCGGTTCGGGCGGCTCGGGTCGGGCGGCGCGGCTCGAGTCGGGCGGCTCGGTTCGGGCGGCTCGGTTCCGTTAGGGCCGGGCTGTTCGGTGCGGGCGGCGCGGTCTAGGTGGGGCCGTTCGAGGCGGCTAAGGGGAGCGCGGGGAGCGGGTGGGGTTGGGGACGGGGCCGACGCGGGCTGTAAGGGGTAGGGACGGGGCCGACGCGGGCTGTTAGGGGTAGGGACGGGGCCGACGCGGGCCTCTAGGAGTAGGGACGGGGGCCGACGCGGGCCTCTAGGGGTAGGATCGGGGGCCGACGCGGGCCTCTAGGGGTAGGATCGGGGCCGTCGCGGGCCTCTAGGGGTAGGGACAGGGCCGTCGCGGGCCTCTAGGGGTAAGGACGGGGCCGTCGCGGGCCTCTAGGGGTAAGGACGGGGCCGTCGCGGGCCTCTAGGGGTAGGCTCGGGGCCGACGCGGGCCTCTAGGGGACGAGCTCGGGGCCGACGCGGGCCGTTAGGGTTAGGCGCGGGGCCGATTCGGGGCCTCTAGGTGCAACAGCGCGGGGCCTACAGGGCCTCTAGAGGCATGAACGTCGAGGTGCCCTAGGGCAGGTAGGCAGATAGGCAGGTAGGTAGTGGTGGGCCCTTAGGAAAAACGGTCCTAGGAAGGACCTGCTCTATACCATGTTGAACAAGGAATGAAATGACTAAGAATGAAATGAGTACAAGTATGGAAACCTAGAAGTGTGTACCCCCTATAGGCTAATCCACTGTAGCCTAAACAACTACAACAATATATAATGTTTGACACTGCTCTCATACCATGTTGGGCTGAGTGCCCCTTAGGATCTTTGGTAGGGTTAATCTCTGGGTAGAGTGATGTAGTAGCGGAAGCGTTTTAATAAAGGGATTCTGAACCACCTTGCGCTAGTATGTGAGGGCAAAGTAAGTTGATTGAAGCAAAGAGATACAAGAATATATAAGAGTACAAGGAATGTGAAGAGATACGGTTGTAACTACTTTTACTGTTGCTGTTGCGGTTCGATACAGTGATGACTCGGGCAACTGCTCTGTAGCGAGTCAGTTGTGTGTCCTTGCTGTCGCGCTGTACTTGTCAGGTCAAAGGTCGCTGACCTTTGACTTTCGAGTAACCTCCAGCGGCTGCTTCAACCTCCGAGGGTTGACTCGCCGGTGCTTCGGTATGCTTCGCTTCGCTTGTGCCTTAGTGTTTCGACACGACAGAGGCGCTTAGGACCGATTGTTTCCAACAAGAAGGACCTGCTCTATATCCAGAGCTGAACAAACAATCTGATTACAATCCCTGGCATTATCAATGTTGGAAACAATCGGTCCTAAGCGCCTCTGTCGTGTCGAAACACCAAGACACAAGCGAAGCAAAACACTATCGAAGCACCAGCGAGTCAACCCTCAGAGGTTGAAGTAACTGTCGGAGGTTACACGAATGTCAAAGGTCAGCAACCTTTGACCTGACAAATACAGCGCGACAGCAAGGACACACAACTGACTCGTTACAGAGCAGTTGCCCGAGTCGTCACTGTATCGAACCGCAACAGCAACAGTAAAGTAGTTATAACTGTGTCTTTTCATATTCCCTGTATTCATATATAATCTTGTATCTCTTTGCTTTAATCAACTTACTCTACCCTCACATACTAGCGCAAGGTGGTTCACAACCAGGCCCTACGAAGTCAGACTTTTTTCTCTGATTTGCACAAAAAACTCTGATATTTCAGATTTTTTTTTCCAGTGTACTCTGTTAAAATCAGACTTTTTTGGGCCCAAACTCTGTAATTTTCAGACTTTTTTTATGGCTAACTCTGAGAGTTCAGAGTTTTCTGAGAGTGTACTCTGATCATTCAGAGTACAAACGCGTCCTTGACTGGTGATTCGGACTTACGGGTCACAATAGATTCGCAATGTCAACGCAAAATCGCCTTGACACAGCAAATCCGAGCCTTACAGCACAAGATTTTCGCCCAATCATAGCAAAATCGCCCTGGCACAACAGATTTGCGCTGTCAGAGCACAACAATTTTCGACCAATCACAGAAAACTCGCCCTGACATTGCAGATTCGCTCTTTCGCACCACAAGATTCGCCCTGACACATATATTCGCCCTGTCAAAGCATGTTTTATCGGAAATCCCCTTAGTGTTGTGTGTTTCGGTAGCAGATGAATTAAACATTGATTACATTCCGATGAAATATTGAATACATTGTTTTATAATGATCAGACTTTTTTTTTAGGACACTCTGAAATTTCCGCCTTTTTTTTATACCAACTCTGAGATTTTCAGACTAAAATTGTGTTCTACTCTGACGAATCAGACAGGCCAAAAACGAATCTGAGGGCCTGTTCACAACCCTTTAATTAACGCTTCCACTACTACACCAACTCTACCCAGAGTTCACCCCTGTAAAGATCCTAAGGGCTTTTCAGCCCAACAATCAATACAAAACAAAACTACAAGCCCCTTCCGGGTTATTCCATACAAGTCGTGTTGAGAGAGTTAGGTGAAAGGTGAGTGATTGGGTCTAGGACGGGGTACAAACAAGAATGTCGAGGTGAGAACTGTACCCCCTAAGGCTAGCCCCTATATAGCCTAGACAAATCAATACGCATATATTTTAACAAGTCGGAGTGACCGGGAACCAAGCATGGGCCCCAATGCAAGCACAGCAGCAGTGCCATGCAACGGAAGGCATGTGGACAAGTCTGCTGAAGGCCACCCACACTAGCTTCACCGCATTTTCTTCCGGGCCACCACACCAGCATTGGGTGATCTTGGCGGGTGTGCATTGCGATGGCAAAAGACGAATGTCTTTGCTCCCACTGATTTGCTGCCCTCCTCCGTGTTCTCCACCATCACTCCCGTCTTGCCTCCAATGGTGCGTCGGTGGCCATAGCTGCACACACCACACAGGCTCGCAGCGACATCGCTCACTGCTTCAGTCAACACCAACACCAAAACGCAAGCTTCATAGCCATGCACCCAGCTCCCCATATGTGCAACTCCTAAACCAACCCCTGCCAATTTCCCTGCCCGCGCTTTTTGGCTTCCCTGCCCTGCCCTGACGCACCCTGGGAAGTGGTCGGCATGGAAGCGGTGGGTGAACTTGAGGCGCAGCGCACGAGACTCCTCCGCCAGCGCGGGTGCGTTCCACAGGCTGTACGGGTGCCCCGTGCGCAGCGACACTCGCACCTCGCCCTGCGGCGCCACCAGCGGCGCTGCACTCACAAAGAAGTCAAATAGCAACTGCCGATTGCGCTGCAGTGCACCACCAGGGGGAAGAAGAGCAAGGGGGGGGGGGGCGGGGGGGGGGGGGGAGGGGGAGAAAGAGGAGCGGATTCACAATGGAGGTGTTGAGAGCGCAAATGCACTAGTTTACTGGGCAGAGGGTGAAGAGAGGCAAGGGTGGATGTGTGGCATGACTCCACACGGCACGGCATGGCGTAACACGGCACAGTATGGCATGGCACAGTTAAGTGATTGAGTGGTGCGCAGCAGGAATGGCAGTGCACGGGGCAGCAAAGGTGGGGGGGCAACGAGTGAAAGTGACACATGGGTGTGCGAGGCGTACACACTGATGGGCGCCACCAGCAGAGGCACAAGCAGTGGCAGGGGCAGGGGAAGGGGCAGGGGGAAGGGGCAGGGGGGAGGGGAGTGGGGTGGGCGGAGAGGAGACCTGGACGTTGATGCGCTCGTCCTTGATGCCGAGCCCCACGTGGGGGAAGTTGAACACTATCCTGAGGGGCACACGGCACCACACACAGCACGGACAGCACATGCACGTGCGCAGGTGATGCGCACGAACAGCAGTACCGGTGGTGCACTGGGGTTTAAGGTAGCATGGCAGTAAGGCGCGTGCATGCAATGGCTCACCGGTCAAAAGGCTTTTCCAACGGATTTGCTTTCCCCTTCCTGCGCCGCTTGCCTGCAGGAGTGCGTTGAGGGACAGGCGGGAGAGCGAGATGAAGGGCATTCGAGGTAACGAGCATGAAAAAGAAGGAGAAAGGGAGGGAGGGAGGGGGATACCGAGGTGCAGAGTGTGAGCGAGGCGAGTGGCGTCGACATTGAAGAGCACGTGTGCCCCGCCCGCCTCCACCTCCTGCAGCACCGCGCCCGCCTCCTCCCCATACTTCTGCACGCACAGCACATGCCAGCACGCCCCATGAGCGCACAGGCCACCTGTGCGGTGACATGCAGCAAGGAGGGGTGGTATGGCTTGTGGTGGTGGGGCACGTTAGGGCGAACCTGCACGATGGTGTGGCGCGAGTCAAGCGCCGTGGCGAAGAGGGCCAGTGGGCGCGCGGGCGCCATGAGGCGCAGGAGAGCACGCGTGAAGGAGAAGTCGCCCTCGCCCACCAGCAGAATGCGCTGTGCCATGGCATAGTTGTTGGGGGTGGCGCATGGCACGGGAAGAGCAGATAATGGGGGTGGGGGACGGCAATGGAAGAGCAGAGAATGGGGGTGGGGGGCGGCAAGTGAAGAGCAGAGAATGCGGAGTGACGGAGGAATGTAGAGGCGCGGTTGAGAGGAGTGAGGGGGAGAAAATAGAAAGATAGGAGGGAGAGAGAAGCGGAGGGGGAGGTGCCAATGTTGGGCTACCAAGCATGGTGCAACCCTAACATCTTGGCTTCACCTGTGCTCTCCGTTCTTTGGCCCAGGCTGTCACCTCGCCCTCGCTATCCACCACATGCCACATGCCACATGCCACATGCCACATGGCGCTGTGGTGGATGCAGCAGAGGCAAGGAGAGGGGTTACCTGTGACGGGTGGAAGCCTCTCAGACCAGACGGCCCTTCCCCTCGCTCCCTCTTCTTGCCTTTCGCTTCTTTGCCTCTCCTTGCTACATCCTCCTCCTCATCTCCCTCCTCCTCCTCCTCCCCTTCATCCTTCCCACTTCCCCCCCCCTCCTCGTCCTCCTCGTCCTCCTCGTCCTCCCCCTCCGCTTCTCCCTCCATCCCTCGCTTCTCACTGCTCCTCACTCCAAAGGGCCTTCCCCCATCCTTGCCCTCCGCGCCTGCATCGTCCGCCCCCCCCATCCGCCCCCCTACCACTCGCACACTGCCCCGCCCATCACCGCCCCCACCTCCCTCGTCCCCTTGCAGCCTCACCTCCACAGCGCCGCGCTCAACCCCCCCTTTCGAACCCATCCCGCCCGCACCTTCCCCGCCAACCTCAGAGCTCTCACCCCCCTCCGCCCTCCCCGCCTGCTCCTCCCCAGTCTCTGGGTTTCCGCCCGCGCTGAGACGCAATGGAAGGGGGTGGGGCGGCAGCGGAGGCAGAAGGGTCGAGGTAAGGAGCGGCGTGGGGGAGTGGGAGGAGGTGTGCATGGCGCATGGCCGAGGCATGGGACCAAGGGCACAGCGCCGGGGTTCATGGGAGGAGAAATTCCGCTAAGGGAGCACATCCACTCGCAACACCACGTCGCTCAACCCAAAACCCAGGACCGCCCCCCCCCTCACCTCTCTCTCCGCTCCTCGCCGCCGTCTCTGTCCTCCGCTCCCACCACCGCATCGTTTCTTCGATCCCTCCACGCGCCCGCGTGCCTCGCCTCGCCGCGCGCCTCCACCAGCCCCTTCTTTGCCTTCTCCACTGCTCCCCGCCTGCTGCCCCCACCGCCTCTCGTCTGAGCCGCTCCCTTTGCACTCTTCCGCTGAGGTTTTCCCGCGCCCCCTCCTCCCCCGCTACTCGCGATACGCTTGGCGTGCAACGCCGCTGCGAGCTGCTTTCGGCGGAGCTGACTCTTCTGCTCGTGGCGCTGCCGTTTCTGCTGGCGCTTGCTCATGGCGAAGCGGACGCGGACGCGGAAGCGAACGGGAGGCGGAGGAGGAGCCGGCAGAGAGCGGAGCACCCGAGGGAATGCGCTACGACTGATGAGGGGATGGGGTAAAGGCACCCGACTCTGCGAACGAACCCAACATGCAGGAATGAAGTAGAGACCTGGTGGGGATGACACAAGGTATATGTCACACGGACGGGAAGAAACTAAAGAAAACTCTGGCACATGCTGCAGAGTGTTGTGAATGGAGCTCGGTAGGTAGATGGTATGGCGGTGCGCGGGGCAAGTTTCATTCGTTGGTCCGAACTTTGGATGGTAGGGCGCGTTACATCTTTCCGGGTTTACCGGCCGGCGATTTTGCTGAAAGAAGTAATACAGATCGCATCCGATCGCTGCAGATTGCTACAGATTGCTTTAATATAAGGGCGCGTGTGATCTTTTCTCAAGTTCGGATTAAAGGTCTAACTTTGAGTGGTTACCCGTTTTTGCCAATGTCGCCAAATGCTCTGGCGAAGGCATGAAAATTTTGGGGGCACAGAAGTGTGAAGGTCAAATGTGAACTCAACTCGAATCACACGGGTGACCTGAGCGTGCACATTGAAGCGAGCGTGTGTTGTTTTCAGCACGTACAACGACCATACGAACATCGCGATATTTTCTTAAGGTTGCGGAGATCCGTTGCGCAGTATGTTGACGTGCCGCGCTGTACCTAGTAATTTACACCCCTACGTGCGGCTCGTCGCTGGTCCCTATAACGTCGAATGTCTGTGTACGACCTCGGGTGTGTGATTGCAGGTTTACAGTGTTGTTCCCCAATGTTCAAACTTCGCTACAAAAAACGTCGAGTTTCGTTCGGGATAAGTTCAAATGCTACATTCGACATAAAAAAGGTAACTTTTACAACTTCCAAAGCTCACACGCGCCCTAAGGACACATCACATTTAGCAGGGCCAGTACCATAAGTTCAGAAATGGTACAGGCTAGTAACCCAATTACAACCTGCACGAGCGTAAAAAACAAGCGACTAGCTCCAGTTTCAAGCAACGTTCACAAGAGGGCCAAAGGTTTAGTTTTGCCAGAGTAACCTATTCGGGACCAGGAAACAGAGTGCGAAGTGACTATAGCCAGTGCTTACATATATCACACGCCTAGGAAGCTGCCTAAGCGTACCCCACCAAATGAGTATTCAATCGCCAGAGTTTATGATAATGGGAACTCTCGTCACGTGCACGTCCTTTGTCTTGCCTCGCCACTCGCTGATTCGCGTAGTTTCTCTCTTTATGCTCGCCACTCCCTCCCTCGCGGTGACATGCTCGCCACTCCCTCCCTCGCAGCATCGATCAATTGCTACCTCATCGCCGAGCATTGAGGGCGGGCCTCACAGTCCCTTGAGACATTGCCTTGTTGCTGAAGGGGTGCCAGATCAAGCCCATGCTCGTTGTCTCGCCATGCCAGTACTAGTGGCCTCGTCCCATAGAGCTGCATCGCCTCGGTACCCAACGCAGCGTCGCTTCACTTCACCACGCTACGTCCCGACGCCACGATGAAGGCGCTCACTATGCCTCAAACTGCCAAGCCGCGTTTGCTCTTGCACGATCGCAAATAGCTACCTGCTCGTGTGAGTGATGCTACCCCGTTTCCGCACTAGCCAAGGAATCCGCAGAACCCCGCAGGTAAATTCGCGACGCGGACCTGAACGGCCTCCCGGTCCCGCCAATCCTTCTCGCATCCCCAACTTTCATCCCTCCTCCTGGTATCCCCTTCCCGCCTCCCATTCTCCCCGCCTCCCAATTTCCCCTTCACACCTCTCAATCTCCCCTTCCCGCCACCCGTTCTCCCCTTCTCGCCTCCCATTCTCCCCTTCCCGTCTCCCATTGTCCCCTTTTCGCCTCTCAATATCCCTTCCCCGCCACCCCTTCTTCCCTTCCCGCCTCCCATTTTTCCCTTCTTGCCTCCCATTCTCCCCTTCCTACCACCCGTTCTCCCCTTCCCAGCACCCAAAAAGCCTCATCCCGCCTCCTCACGAGAGCTGCCCCCTCCCAATCTTGCCTACCTCCCTCCCCCTCTTCCTCATCGTGCGTTCCTGTTATCCCCTGCTTGACATACAATCTCCCCTTCTAGCCTTGGCCTTGTCAGCCTGCCTATCATCACCTCTCCCCTTCCTGTCAGTAGATCTGCACTGTGGATGCCCGATTGATCCTGGAGAGGGTTACAGGCGCGTTTGCCTGGGGGGTTATGGGCGCATTGACCCGCTACTGAAACAAGCCATTTTATCCCAATGGTCTAGTGGTTGGGATTCTGACATGGTATCAGAGCGGTCTCGGGTTCGATTCCCGGTGTATGCACATGTAGGCCGTTGCCGCTGTGCTTAACCCTGGGCCTCCCAGTGTGGGGGGGTGTCAGTAGATCTGCACTGTGGATGCCCGATTGATCCTGGAGAGGGTTACAGGCGCGTTCGCCTGGGCGCACTGACCCGCTACTAAAAACAAGCCCTTTTATCCCAATGGTATAGTGGTTGGGATTCTGACATGGTATCAGTGCCTCTCTCCCTGCCCTTCTCTCTCTGCGCCTCTCAAGGGGCTGGCCGGGGGGAGAAATGGGGCTAATATGGGGGAAACAAGGGGCTAGCAGGGGGGAAACAAGGGGCTAGCAAGGGGAAAGAAGGGGCTAGTAGTGGGGAAACAAGGCGCTAGCATGGGGGAAACACACAGTAGGCAGGGGGGATGCAAGGGGTTAGCCAGGGGCAAACATGGGTATAGCAGGGCAAAAAGATGCAGGAGATGAGAAGAAGCGGGAGAGGAGAAGGAGGATATAGGAAGAGAGGAAGGAGGCAAACAGCACCCCCAGGCTCCACGCGCACAGGCTCAGCACCCCCAGGCTCCGCACGCTCAGGCTCACCACCCGCAGGCTCAGCACCCCCAGGAGCACCAGAGTCACCAGTGACCTCGAGAGGCTCAACCAAGGGGAGTGGGTCTACCTAAGACACACCTGAACGAGCAGGACCCTGAGGGGGGAGGGGGTCTATCAGAGGGGGACCTGGAGCAAGGAAGAGCGGCGGGGGAGGGGGAGGGGCAGTGCGGTAGGGGAAGAGATGGTAAAAGGGCACCGACTCGTCAAACGTGACGTCCTGAGAGGACAAAACACGGCGCAAAGTGGGGTGGTAAAACTGTCAGCCAAGCGCGTCAGGGGGAAAAACAAGGAAGACACAGGGAACGGCTGGAGCGGAAAGCTTGTCCGCGGAGGTATCGCGAACAAAGGCACGAGATCCCGCGACCCGGAACACTGACGCATCGCCAACCTCTCCCGTCCAAAGCAGTGTCGGCAAGGTCTTCGGCAAGGAGACACAGGGCCAGAGGTTGAGCTCATGTGCAGCGTACCGGACCGGAAACGGCCACAGAAAATGGGGGGTAGCCGCATGGATCATGGAGGTACGAGTGACCTCCATGACTAGGACAATGCGGCGCTTAGCAACCCCATTCTGCTGCGGAGATGTCAGAACCGTGAACGACTGGGTGATGCCCTCCACACGACAAAAGTCCCGCAAGAGGTCGGAGGAAAACTCACTGCCTCTGTCAGAGTGCAGACACAGGACAGGAAGGTCCGTGTCGCACCGCTCGCGGAGCTGGAGACGGACCGCGCGGATCGAAGGGATCAATACATCAGGGATGACCGTGGTGTAACGCGAGTAGTCGTTAACAACCAGCAGAAAGTACTGTGAGAATAAGCGAACAGGAAATGAATGAACTAGCAGTGAAATGAGTACAAGTAGGAAACCCTAGAATTGTGTACCCCCTATAGGCTAACCCACTGTAGCCTACACAAGCAGAACATATATAATGTTTGACACACCCCCATAGGCAAAGTGGGGGAGAACAAGGGGTCACAAGACCAGTCAAGCAAAGCAAAGCAAGCTCAGGGTGGATCACAAAGTCACCACACAGTCCGAGCACAAGAGCAGGGCCAGAGGCCAGTTCACATGCAGGAGTACAGACATATATATAAAACTAGACAAGCAAGAGCAGGTATATATATATGTCACAGTACAAGTGAAGTCAAGAGGAGAGCAAGTGAGGCAAGACAGGCACAAGACCCAGCTGGGTGCAAAAGCGCTGATGGTCACAAGGCGCGAGTGCCTTGGTGAACACATCAGCAGTGTTGGCCTCAGAGGCCACGTGCGCAAGTCGCAACTGACCACGCTGCTGCAGCTCACGAGCAAGGAAGTAGCGGAGAGCAATGTGTTTCGTTCTGTGCTCCAAGCGCTGCTCTCGACACAAGGCCAGCATGGCCTTGTTGTCTACGTACAGCACTGGAGGAGAACGAGGCGGCTCTCCAAGGTCAGTCAGCAGGTAGGTGAGCCAGCGAAGCTCCTGTGCAGCCATGGCCCAGGCGTAGATCTCAGCCTCACAACTGGAGCCGAGAACCGAAGACGAGCGAGTAGACCGCCACGAGACAGAGCCGGAACCAAGGCTGAAGGTGTAACCCTGTGACGACCGCTGCGTAGCCTGGTCGTCAGCCCAAGAAGCGTCCGCGTGGCCGGTAAGGACCACTGGACTCCGCCCTCCAAGCACTAGCCCCATGCCCGACGTACTGCACAGGTAGCGCAATACCCTCTTCGCTGCAGCCATGTGCTCTGGTCTGTGTCTCCCAGGAGCAACATAGCGTGCAAGAATGCTCAGAGGGTATGCAAGGTCAGGTCGTGTGCAGGTCATCAGGTACATGAGGCAGCCAACAAGCTCTGCATACGGACCACTCGACTCTACGGACTCATCCGAAGGCAGAGCTGAGAGTGAGTGGCGAGTAGGCAGAGGAGTGGCCTGAGGCGAGGAGTACGTGAAGCCAAAGCGCTGAAGGACCTGCTGCACCATGTGTGACTGAGTCAAGGTAATGGTGCGGCGTGCTCTGTCCCGAGTGATCTGCAAGCCAAGGTAGCTGCGCAGTTCACCCAGGTCTGTGCACGTGTGTCTTTTCAGCAGTTCGGACTTCACGTAGGCGAGTCCAGCAGTGTC